GGTTTTACCTCAAATCAGTTGCTCGAGCTTTGTCTCCCTCAATTTCTCTGTTTTTCATTTTTTTTTTTGTGATTCTCGGCCAAACTGCCGAGAGAGAGAGGGAGAGAGAAACCCGGAGAGAGAGAGGACGCCGGCGGGAGGAAGCCCGGAGAAGGAGGTGGCCGGCGGTGGAAGAAAATGGAGAGAGAGAGAGAGAGAGAGAGCTGGATGTGCGTGGAAGAGCCAGGGAAGAAAGAAGAAGAAAAAAAAAAGAAAAAGAAGGAGAATGGGGGGCTGGGCGCACGGGAAGGGAAATGGGGAAAAGAAAAAAAAGAAAAGAAAAAAAGAAAAAGAAAAAGAAAAGAAAAGGAAAAAGAAAAATGGAAAAAAGGGAAAATGTATTAAATTTAAGTGTGTTTTCCAAAAATCTTTAGGGTGAAATTATAAATACTGAAAATAACTTAAAGTCCCTTGATTAATTATGAAAATCAAATTAGGCACACTAATAATCCATAATTTAGTATAATTAAACATGTTTAATTCTAGAGGGCGTTACAAGCCTAGTAGAATATATTTTTGAAATAACTTTATAAACAAAAAAATAAATAAATGAGTAAATAAATTAATGATTAAACAATGAAACAAATATAGACATTCAGTTCCAACACAACAGCCGAAACCTCACATCCTTTTTCTCAAAGGAAATATAGACTGAAAATCTCCGTATTATAGGCATCAGTAAGTAATTTATGCTATGATAAATTACTTACATAACCACATGCACAAGCCTATAACCCCCGGGCCGGGTTTCGGGACCTGCCCCCAAGGATGCACTCTCCACATCCTATCTAGGCTATTAGCCGGTTTATCGATTCGCAAGATCTCTTGTCTTAAGAAATCATTCATTAAACTTTATGAAACAGTTCATTATACTCCCCAGAACTACAACAAGCCATGGGGGTTAAAATGTTTTTCTTTCGCAAATATGCCCTTTCTTTAAAACATTTGCAAGGCCAAAACTCTTTTTAAAATTAGGCTGCCAAAGAAAGGGGTAAGAAATCCTACCTCTCAAGTACCAAACATGGCTAGCGTTACTTTATTCCAGCTTTCGCTTCCTCAAAGCCCCTCAATCTAAGTTTTCAGCCAACACTGATACAAGACAACACTTTAGGATCCAATTTTCATTCCTAAAGCAATTCAGTCACAATTATATCCTTTGATTTCCTATTAGTGTGCCTTAATCAAATTTCAAGTTTTATTAATCATTTTATGTTTCAAATCATCATTACAAGGGTTTTTGATTCCAAAACATGGATTAAAGATGCTAATCCATTCACTTTAGGTCCCCAAATGAAGCTAATTTGGGTTCTCCTCGAAAACTGAGGTCAAAACAGGGGTTTTTAACAAAACATGGTCAAACCCAGTATACACCGGTCGACCGGTCACAGAGCAGTGCAACACCACCAGTTGACCGGTGACAGAGCAGTGCAACACCACCAGTCGACCGGTGGTGTGCACTTCAGTCGACCGCATGGGACGACCAGTGGACTCAGTGCAGTCCGGTCGACTGCATAGGTCGACCGGTTTGGTTGACCGCACAAGTCGACATGTGAAGAACAGCAGGGCGAGGAAACTCACCAAAATCAATCTGAAAACCTGCAATTTCAGTTCCAATTCAAAATATCTCAATGGGAAACCACTAGATCCAGGTTCTAAGTACTGAATCAAGTCCAAAGAACCCAAGATCTCAAATTTCTACCATGGTTTTACTCAAAATCCATCAAAATCCATTTCGAACCAAAAATAAGTTTTTAAATCCGAAAACTTGAGATTCAAGAGAGGTTTTTCAGAAATCTTATATCGAATCATTCTCTTGGCAAGAAAAAGGAAGGAAAAGGAAAAAGAAAAGAAAAGAAAAGAAAAAACATGTGTCCAATATTTAAAATGACAGTATAGAAATGTGCCCATACACACTTCTGGGTTAAAATATAATTACTGAGAATATTTAAATACCTTAGAATTATTTAAATTTACAAGTCAGAAACATTTATTAATCAATAATTAATTTATTAAACAAGATTAGGCACACTAATAAATCTTAATTACCTTAATTAATCCCATTTAATTCTTCGGGGTGTTACATTTTTACATTGAGTTATATAAATTAAACTGAGGCTATGTACGGAATTCTCGTATCAATTAGAAGAACAAAAGGGATACCCATAAATTGGTCCCCCTAATCGGACAGTTTTTTAAAGTAACAAAAAGTTCTGTCATCTAGTTAACCGGACGACCTTGTCTATTAACCAGAGGATGCTACGTCGGCACCAACTTGTTGAAATTAAAAAGCGAATTTGATTCTGAAAATAAATTTAATTGCGGAAATAAGATATTCCTACTTATATAAATAGCTCATTAAGTCACATTAACACTTAGATCACCTGAAAGATATTTGGGAGGCTATAAGTAAGGGTTTTCTGAGAGGAAAAATTGATCAATCGTCAAAGATCTATTTTTTCCTTTGTCACTCTTGTGGAAGGAGAGAGAATATCAAGAGGAAATTGAATGACGTGTGTCCACTAGCATTCTGGTGTTTGAAAAGAGAGTAGTAAAAAAGTTCAATTGGTTGGAGATCTTACAATTTTATTAGAAGATCCAATGCTAATCTCTTAGAGGTATAATTTAGATTTTTAGTATTTATATAGCATCATAAACAAGATTCAACTTTAGATTATTTAATTCAAAAATTTTAAAATTCCGTGCGTAACTTTTACTGTATTTTCCAACGGTTGATTATGAGTCGCGTGTCACATAATCGATAGATTAGAGCAAGTCATGTTAATATCAACCCGTATTAGGACATGTTGTGTTAGTGTTGAGATTTTTCAACCTAAACATTTCATGAATCGTGTTAAGATTGAAATTTTTTTTTAAAAAAGATTGAGATATTTTCAGAAAAAAATTACTTTAACCTTATACTACACGATTTATCAACACTCAACATGAATTGTCACCTTAAATATAGTAAAGATAAAAATAAGATACATTAGGAAAAGGATTGGTAGGTAGACAATAATTAATTTAATAGAGGATAAAATAGGAATAAATAGATGGGTGGATGTCTGGATAATAGAAAATTTAATTATTGATTTTCATTGCTAATAAACATGTATAAAGTCGAATAAAGGCGCCGATTCCGAACAAGCCATTCTTTACACTTTTTCTTTTCAGCTGTTTCCTTTACTCTCTCCTCTCTCCCCACCTTGTACACATTTCAGCTAATTACACCATTTCGTACACCTGACATTCCCACACAATTCACATTCTCTCTCTCACTCTCTCACTCTCTCTCTCTCTCATGGCGAGGCCGACTCGGGACGAGATCGAGACGTACATGAGCATCACAGGCGCATCGGAGTCCCTGGCTCTTCAGAAATTTGAGGTTCGATTTATCCAGATTTGGTTCACATTACTCTTTTTTCCCGTTTCAGTGCTTAATTGCATGTATTTCAGCCCACATTGTTGGATTTCGGTGAAGAATCTATTTTAAATTTTCTATATGAAATGTTGAAATTGCGCATTTTGTATACTATAGAGAGAGAGATAGAGAGAGAAATATTTTGTTTCATGTTTGTGAAGATAGTAGGGATTACTGAAATAGTACATGCCGAATGGTTTTGTGTTGCTGGATTTTCTTACTTTGGAAAATGTTGTGTAACAAACCTATTTAAATTGGAGAGGAGAGAATAACGAGAGCTAGTTTTAGAAGGAAGTTCAATAAATGTAATAATATATATAGGTGGATTGTAATAAATGCAATACTATATACCTATATATATAGCTTGTCTTTAGTATCTCACAGTGGAGGGTGGACTGCGTAACATGCACAGAGGAAAAGTGAATAAATGTAATAATGATCTTAAAAGGTATAATATTTGCATGCTATAGATAAAATTCTCGTTATTATACCTTACAAAACAATTAGGGCTGACAATATAGGTCGCGACATAGTAATACGACTAAAAAACGATATGGATTTCGCATGTTAAGGTTGGAGAAAAAGATGTATGCGTCAGATTTAGGTCGACCTGAATTGACACGAAAAATACGAGTCAATTCCGGGTTGGACCCACCTAACCCGAACACAATACGAAACTCATAAAAAAATTTAAAAATATATGTTTTTCATTACGTATTTTAATCTTATACTGTTAGTTGCTTAATTTTGATGGAATGTTATTGTATTTTAGCGTGTTATGAATTTTAAGTTATTTTTAATGTGTAAAAAACTCAAGAAAAGTACATAATTTTCGTGTCAATTTCAAGTTCATGGGTCAATTTTGTGTCACGGGTCATTTTCGTGTCATATCATGTCAACCCAGAAAGTGGTTGTGTTGTGTTCGTGTTGCGACTTTTAAAAAATTTCATGTCACAGGTCTTGTTCGGGTTGACAACAAATTTAGGAAGAGACGATCAAAACATGACACGAACATGGCACGTGACACGATTTGCCTCCCCTAAAAACTATACTACGTGAAATAAATGCTATGTTTACTTCTTCTATATGTTACCTGCAAAACTGGTCCTTGGTGATGGACACAAGCCTTTGCTAATTCATGCATGCAGTTCACTTCTCTGCTCCTTATGTGTATGGTTCCTGACTGCCCTGTTGTCTTACATGTGAGCTACGAAGATTCCCATTTAAGGAACATTTTTCATATAGGACGTATTCGTGAGGTTTCCATGTCTTCTTGATTGTGACTTATAAAAGGGATTGTGCTCTTTAGGGAGAATGGGAATTCTTTGTCCAATGATTAGTCAAAATAAGCTAACTGGTGTTTTCGTTTATTTGTTACATTTTGATAGCCCTTCATGTCCCTAAGTTGTTGTTGTTGTTCTTTTTTTTTTTTTTTTAAGCAGGAACATGGAGGCAACCTGAATGAAGCTGTGAATGCACACTTCGGTGGAGCAGAAATACACGTGTATTAAACTCACACTTTGTTTTTCTTTCTATTTTCTCTTTATCTCTCATTTTTTCACTCCAATTTTCCTTTGGTTGCTGTGAAATTTATAGAACAGCTTATCACAATGTAATTGCTCTTTTCAAAACTGTTGCTTGTGTGCTTTATTATGGTTCAGTGCACATCCGCCACCAGCTCCCATCCCACAACATAGTTTTACTAATAACAATGAGAGTCAATTTGGACGTGGACTTTTTCCAATTCTTTCCGCTGCAAGAAGCTTCAGGCCTTCATTGCTACTCGATCCTAATTACCGGAGAGACCTTTTTAACCGTATTGGTGCTGCTGCTATTACTGGTCCAGCATCGTTACATTCACCTCCAGGAGCAGTCATGGGCCTTCCTGTCGAGCCCAACAGTAGGCATGAACAGCTTCATCATTCAACAGTAAGGTCTAATGTCGGTGATGATCATAATTCAACAGAATATAGTGCCTCACATTTGGACAATAATGTGGAGGACGCAATGATTCAAGCTGCCATTATGGCTTCAAAGAGAGAAGCCGAAGTGGGTATCTGAATGAAAAAATAATGCTCTCAATGTATATTGCCCTTTACTTTTGTGAATTATAATCTTGCTTGTTCTTTCAAGAAGCAATTCTCTTCCCATATGTAAATGCAGGCTTCCTCTAGTTCTGGACTTTCAGAAAGGACACTTCAAGAAGACGATGATTTTGCTCGTGCCGTCTTATTGTCCTTGAAGGTTTATAACATCTTTTATTATATTTACTTGAGCTGTTCCTGTTTTTCTGGTCCTTGATTTTGTTTAAAATGAAGAATTTAGACTGCTGAGCAAGAGAAAGTAGCACGTGAGCAGCACATGGAAGGGGAGATCCAAGAATTTGGAAATAATAGAAGATCAAAGGTGTGAAACTCTTCCTTGAGATTACGTGTTTCATACTTTCATGCATTGCACAGGCGCAAGTGTTTAAAGGAAAGGTTCTGGTCTGTTGCCTAGACCTAAAAATGAGGATATTTAATGCTCATAAACTTATTAAGAATTGTGCCATTCAAAAAATGTAACTGCAAAGGATGATGTTTGTTGCTGGACATAAATTAAGAATTGTAATCCATATGTGAGTAACCAATCCTATTGTACAGTTTTGTGAAAAATGCCGTAGAAGAATTTAGTTTAACCTTTCCTTGTAAGTTTAGTAGACTGAATCACAATTCACAAGCATTATTACAATATAAACATTCATGACGTCCTCCTTTTAAAGATGAAGATCCTGTTTCTTCTAACAAAAAGGCATCTTAAATTAAAGCAAGGAAGCTCATTGAACAGCAACGGAGCTCATAATGTCATTGAAGAGCAACAATTGAGGCAAAATCCTATCCACAGTGCGGGTAATCATCATCAGCACGGTGAAGAGGTATTATTGTCTGTTGCGAGTTTGGTCTTTTTTGAAATAGCTGGCTTAAGAAAGAATTTGACCAACTATTTCTTTGGCAATGAAGTGGGGTGGCATTTCTTCCAAAGAGCTCGATGAAGCTCTTATGCTTGAGACTGCACTTTTTAGTGAGATTTCTGAAGGAACTTCAAATCGGTCCTTGATTGCAACTCAACTTCAAAGCGGTCTGGAAAAAAGAACTATTCCTGATCTGCAGCCGACACCCCATCCTTCGTTACAGCCTCTTCCAGCCAGCCGATTACTTAAAGAGCAACAGGTTTTGGCTGCCTGCTATAACTTATTGGTGGTTCCATACAGTTGACCGTAAAATGACTTGATTTTTTTTTTGGCAGGATATGGAGTATCTTGCATCATTGTTTCATGATAAGGAGAAGGAAGAAGAATCTCACAAGAAAATGCTCAATGAACTGGTAATTGAACCTTTAGGGTTTTGTAGGGACATTTTCTTGTCGTGTTTGAGGAGGTTGTGTTTGAGGAGGAATCACGTGTATGCTGATTATTTTGTATTTCATTCTTTTGAATTGTCATGCTTTTCTCACATGTTAAGTGTTTCAACTGGCGTAACGCGGCAACATTATTCTCTCTTTTACCACTATTATAAGTATCTTTGTGCTTTAAGTTATTTTCTTCTTTCAAAGATTTTTTTACCTATAAATAGGGTTAATTATAATTTGTGAGATAAGATATGCAATATAAATCTAGAGATTCCTGTCTATCTTTTAATATAATGGATGATAGGTGTAATATCAATCACATTGCTTAGTTGAGATAATAAGTAATAAAAAGGAATGGATGGTTATTAGTTCCTGAAAGTGGATAATGTAAGGTGGAAATATCTTGGAGTGCTGAAGAATTTATGAGTATTGGGTCCAATGTGAGATAGTGGGCATATACATTTATGTAGTAGTGATGAATGCAGTTATCGCTACTGAAGCTATGAGGAATAAATACTGAACCAAGAAACCCTTGTAATCAGGAAGAAGACACACAAGAAAAATTACAATATCTTTGGTTCTGTTATCGTGAGACTCTTGACTATTTGTATAATTTAGCACAAATTAATGAAAATTACGAAGGAAACTGGAACAATTATTTTGTATGGTATACACGTTGAATTATCTACGATTATGTATTAATGAAATAGTTTTTAAATTCTATTTTGTATATTGATTGTTGATTGTTTTTTCTTGAACTTTTAGTATTCTGGAGCCTGTTTCTATTTTCTTGATATATATTTTCTCATTTCATGTCTTATAATGACAGGAATGTGAAAGAAGGTTAGCTGCTAAAAAAGCTTCCCTTGCATGGGAACCAGCATCAGATGATGAGAATGCAGTGACTCTTCTTGTTCGAATGCCAAATGGAAGCCGCCTTGGTCGTCGCTTTCTCAAGTCTGACAAACTTAAGGTAAAGGTCCAAAATCAAAATGTGCTCAAGTTCAAATGAATTATCTCTTGTCCCAACTAACTGGGAGTTTGCTCCTGTGTAGCTCCTCTTTGACTTCATAGATATCAATGGAGCAGTGGAGCCTGGCTCTTACAGAGTGGTAAGTTTTCTACTGCTTTCACCAGTTGTCTTAATAGAACATCAGGAAAAACATGGAACTCGTGTTTTTTAGTTGTCCTTCAATAATTAGCTAGTTTATATTTAGAAGTCTCGTCTTCTCACTCTGCGCTTAAATTCGCTCTGAAGGGTCCTTCAATTTGCAACAGGACTATAGTTTGTGTATGGCAATAAAAGTAGTTGGAGGAAACGCTTTGAATATATTTCTTTCTTATCTTGGTCACTACGTCTTTGAAAGTTCACAAACTCATTTATCAACTTGAAATATGTTTGTCTGTAAGCCTCATTATCCTTTGAAGTTAGGTTTCCTTTTGATTCAGTGTACTACAAAATCCAGTTAGTGAACTTTGCTTGCTCATAGTCATGTTGTTTGATTAACTTGTCGTCTGTGAGATTTCATTGGCATCAATCAGCAATCAACTAGGACATTTTCTTTCTGTTATTATCCAGTCTTGATCGTTGTAACATTAGAACATAAAAAACAACGCCATTCGTGCCAACAAACTTGGGGAATTGGGTCATATCCCTGAACCTTAAAGGTCATGCGCAACATAATCATTATTATTAATTTTTTATTGGATATTGTCTCTCCAACTGAAGATTGTGTAGTTACTTTTGTCTACAATGTTGCCTAAGAGCAGGTTCATGAACCTTTTTTTTTTCATTGCTACATTTCTGTGGGCAGGTAAGGTCTTACCCCCGGCGTGCTTTCACAGTTGATGATGGCTTATTGACTTTGAGCAAACTAGACCTGACCAATAAACAAGAAGCCTTGTTTCTGGAGCTGATTTAGCACATGTTTTTTCTCAAAAATACGTGCCTAAACATGTAGTTCCGCACAATTTCTAAGATGGAACTTATTCAGCAAGCTTGCAATCAGGTAAGAATGCTATTATACATTTGAGAGATGGTTGCCCTGTTAAAATTGGAAATTAGACTCTTAAAGATTTTCTATATGATCTGAGATATAATGTACATATTGCTGAATTGATCGATAGAGTTCTTGTAACATAAAAATTGTACTTTCCGTGGGAAATCCATATGTTGCCGCTAATGGCTTCAGATTATGTTGTATTCGATTATTTGATGAATGTATTTGCAGTGGCTTTTGGCACCGGCTACCCAGATTTATTTTTTTATTTTTTTATTTTTTTAACTTGGTTCCTTTGTGCCTGTACTGTGGCATGAGTATGTTTTACCGAACTTCAGGTCTAGCTCGTAATTTTTTAACCAAGACGAGCAATGATTCGGCTTCGCCTATATACAATTTTTTGGCCACGGTTAAGCTAAAACGAAAAGACAATAACTTGAAAAAGGACACAATTTCTCAGAAAAAGAAGAAAAGAGAATGTTTCGTTATGTTGAATATCGTTTGAAAAATTTTGCTTCTGTAATCTGTAGATATCTATTGAATTGATAACTGTGAAGAAAAAAAAAACTCAATTTTCTGATCAAATGATATAACATAAGAATGTTTAGAAAAAAGGGTTAAAAAAAAAAATGAAGGGAAGTTCAGGCAACCATGGTCTATGAACTGCTTTGGGTTCCTCTTTGCTTCTTCCTGGAGGCTGGGTCTGGAGGTGTCCAATACTGCTTTCTGGCCAATAAGATCTTCTCTCTCCATTTGGGTCCATCTTCGTGGTCTACAATACTTGTACTGTATTGCATTGCTTCTATTATTGGCCTGATCTTCACTATGAGATCCACATCATCCCTAATAATCACACTACCCTCTGGCCTCAAAATCCTATCCATTTCTAAAACAATATCTTCCATTTCACATCTAAGAGAAAAAAAAAAAAAAAATCGGTGAATAAGAAATTAGTCTTTTATAAATGCTTGGATATTTGAAACTTTGAGATGGTGGGTAAACACGCAAGAGAGAGAGAGAGAGAGAGAGAGAGAGAGAGAGAGGTAAGAACATTTAAAAAGATTGTGTGGTTCCTACCTGTGCTTATAGAGGCTAAAAACTGAATCAGCGTGAATGAAGTCATATGTTCTTGGATAAGTGGACATGGCTTCGCACCTACCAGAAGAAAATGCCACGTCAGCAACTCTCTTTGCATAGATTTTAGGGAATAAAAACAATAATATCCGTGTTCTTTAAAAGTTGGCTGTCCAGTATATTGCAAATATTTTAGGGAATAAAAAGAAGTATCATCTTCAACTTTTGTCCTATAAAAGTTGGTTTCTAGTCTCATTTGACAATTAAGAACAAGCAAATCAGTTCAGAGGGCAGTGTTCACTCAATATGTTTCAAATTTTCTTTTTACATCATATGAGGGGAAAAAAAAAAGCCAAGCTGAAGAATTGAGATTCTGGCAGCTATAAAACCGCTTGAAATTATTATTTTTTTTAAAATCTCACTTGAAAAGAGTGAATAAGGAAAAGCAAACACATTGGAAAGTTACGATAAGATTTCCAAATTGAAGGGGAAAAAAAATTAAATTACCAGTTTTGATATGTTCCAATCAAGCCACGCTCATAGATGACGCCAAGAGTGTTACTCTGAGCCTCCACAGGGATGGCGTTCATAACCCAAACAGGATCATCAATTAGCGCAGCCGCAAATCCACCCAAGTAGGAGTTCATGTCGAGCAAATTCCAGTACCTTCCTCTCTCTGCCAATTGGCTGTCATAACTCTTGTAGTACTCCACTCTCTTCTTCCATATCTGTGTGTTTTCCAGGAAAATCTTAGCAGTAATTCCGCTCAAACTTCCACTGCTGATCCTTGGAGGGACTGAAGTCAGCCTTTCTGGCCATTTGGCCAATTCCCCACCTGCAACTTCTCTGAGATCTGTTACATTTGGCAGTGGGGTTAAACAGTTCTCCATTTTCGTGTACCTACAAAAAAAAATGGGGTTAAGTGAAAATAGTCAATTTTGGAAATGCCCTTGTGTTGACAATAAAGGGGGATTCAACTTTTAGCTGATATTTTTCTTTGCAGTTGCCAAAAAATAAGACAAGAGTACAGAGCATAAAAGTTGACAATGAAACAACAGTTTGGGGTAATGGGCAGTTGGACAGGTTAACTAACAAAGTAGAAGTGTCCAAAAAAAAAAAAAAAACTGAGTGAACCTATTCTATGCCTTTATCATCTCATGGGGTTTGGTATCATTTCTAAGTTCAGTTATTCTTTATAGAAACAGAATTGTATAGTGAGAAAACATAAATTAGGAATCGAAAAATCTTTAAACAAAAATGTTATATTACCATGCCCTGTCTGGATCTTGACCTTGACAGAACTGTGGCTTCATGAAAACCTTCCGGGTCTTCTCACAGTGAACATGGTTAGTAGATTTCTGCCAAATAGCAAGATCATCTTTCTGGGTCAATTTCTTCCAGCACAAGCTTCTTGCCACAGCCTCAATCTCAGACTGCTCAACTTGCAGATCTTCTTCAGTTCTTTCCCAGCCTTTCCAGTGTTTCTCCCAGTTTACTGGGGGACCAGACAAAATCCAATACCCACCAGGACGTAGAATTCTATCAACCTCAATCAAGTAAAGCCCGTCTGCACAAATCAACTCAAAATTCAGGAACAAACATCGTGCTACAAGCAAAGCAGCGTGATTTTGATGTAATCTGACAGTTTAGAACTGTAATTTACCGGTAATTATTTCAATATCCTATCGCAGAATTCTCTAAAGATGAAATGGATTAAAATTTGATTACCATATTTGCCCCACGGAATTAGGCAGCGTGAGCAGTGGGCCATGTCAAATGCCCTTGAAGGGTAAGGAAGTCTAATGGATGCAAGGATTCCAATCAAAGAAGGGACTCCTCTTTCAAGGGCAAATTGGACTTGGGCCTCATGGCTGTCTCTTGGTGCAAATGACATTGCCAGGATGTCCCTGGACATTAGGTAGGCACCCCAGCTTGCAACCTGAATTATAATGTGCACATTCAGTAGAACAACATTGTCATTTCACAATTTAAAGTTTCTTCACTACGTTTTAGTAATTGACATGAAAAATAAACATGAAAATTCCTTTTAGAGCATGATCACATTGACTATATGTATTATGCAGGAGAAAATATACCTGAACAATAGCTATCTTAGAGAGTTTAGTTGTGAAAGTAAGAGAAGTTGGCTTGTAGATTAAGGAAGCTGAGTCAAAACAGAGTGCACATATTAAGGGAAAGATGACATGAAACCAACACACATCTTCTTTTTAACTCCAATTCTTGATAGTTAATTACAAATGCAAGGCATTTTTATTACTGATTAGATTATGGAAAAGTATATCACAAGGTCCTTTTTACTAGTATTCAATAACAGATCATCAAAAGAGAAAAAGAAAATACAAGGTTGACAAACATCTTCTCTGCTAATCAATTTAAACACTCTGCCAC